GAATCGGTGTATCACCTGACGCATATTTTTCCGCTAAATTTAGCGGGGAAACCGAACGGTAGTATAGGTGACATGACGTCGAGTCACGTGACTTCGATTTCCCCGCTAAATTTAGCGGTGAAACTGGATCGGTGTCGAGGTCACAAGACGTAAAGTGTCCCGCTAAATTTAGCGGGAGACTGAATTGGTGTATAAGTCATGTGACGTCAATTTCCCGTTAAATTTAGCGGGGAAACTGAATTGATGTTTCGGCCGCGATACGTGAATCTTTCCGCTACATGTAGCGGGTAAACTGAGGTGACGTATAAATCGCGTGCCGTCGATTTCGCCCTAAGTGTATAGATCACGTGACGTCAGGGGAAGTCACTTTCCCTGCTAAATTTAGCGGAAAATGCACTGACGGACGGGCAAAATTAGGGAATTGCCGGGGGCTAACAAAAAAAACAACAACAACAACAAAAAAACAGGGGAGCTGGTAAATTAACTTCATAAAAAAAAAAACATACAAACCCAAGACTGGAAAAAATAAAATAACGGACAAACACACACACACACACACACACACACACACACACACACACACACGCACGCACACACGCACGCACGCACGCACGCGCGCACGCACGCACGCACGCACGCACGCACGCACGCACGCACGCACGCACACGCGCGCACACACACACACACACACACACACAGTCTCGTGTGTACGTGATTTTCCGCTATTTCCTTTTTCGCAGTCTCTTTTTATTTATTTTGTTCTAGACTGCGCACGGACATGACGAGTGACTCCGTCGGGGACTCAACGCAGTAAGGGCCAGCGGGGACGTATTTGGGATGCTTAAAAGCCAAGCTTACTCCGATTTCTTCCTCTTCGGGGATGCCCGGCGGCGTCTGCCCTTTTTGTCCGTTGACGACCCGACTGACTCCTCGAGCACTCGACATTGTCTTAACTCCAGATAAAGACCGGTACGTATAAAAGTAGAGTACCGGCCGAGTCTCTTTTACGTTCCCAACTACAGTAACTAACGCACCCTAAAAAAAAAAAAAAAAAAATAGAGCGATTTAGAAAACAATGCCTTCTCGTATAAAAAAACGTAGGGCGAAACTTCACCAACATGGCGTCCGGCTAGACTTCGAGTCTAAAGATACATCGCGTGAAACAACCCCCACGTAACCGAAGCATGTCAAGAGGCGACCATTGCGTGCCTATCTTTGTGCGTGTACCAAAGCAATGAGTAAAGCAGCGCGCAAAACAATGAAGACCGGGAGAGCGGTACACAGGACGAGTGCGTGAAGGTAACTTTCAACGGGTGTCCGACATACTCACCTGCCCATCGAAAAGACTTACCAACTTAGGTTTCGTGCTAGGAAGAACGTAATTAGTATATTCGAGTTTTTACCCTCAATGTTGTTTCTCCTGCCACTGGGCTAATGTCGCATAATTTCTGGCTAGAATTTCATAAAAAAAGATGTTTGAAAAAAGTAAAGCAGAAAAGGTTACGCACCTAACTTCCTCTCTAAATTTAGCGGGGAAACGCTCACCCGCTAAAACGCCACAAATATAAAAAAAAAATTTCAACCTCAAATTTTGTGTACCATGATCATAACAATTAAGCTGCCAAAGTTTCATTTTTAATTTTTTATATATATTTTTTAGCTATTGCTGTTGATAATCCGCTAATAAATTACTACTCTTATCATTACCCAAAAAAATTAATGTGTTCGCAATCACGGGATTTTTCTCCTGATCAGCACCTGTGTGTGTGTGAGAGAGAGAGAGAGACAGAGAGAGAAAGAGAGAGAGAGCAGGGCCGTTTAAGCTACGGGCTAAGGGGGCTGCAGCCCAGGGGCCCCAATCATCGGGGAGCACCATGCCCTGAGTCGTTGAAAAATAAATAAACCAAAAATTATCTTGGACAGAAAAAAAAAAAAAAAAAATATATATATATATATTTTTTTTATAAGATAAAGCAAAATGGTTTTGGAAAATATTCCCACTACATCCGAGGAAAGAGGCACGACGAAGATAAAAGCACAGCAAGCGAAGCCGAAAAACACTATGCGCGTCGATTTTCTTTTCCTAATTCTTTTTCAGTTGGTGTACACAAAGGCCCATGCATAAATTTGACGTGCGACCGGCCCTTCATGCTACTTCTTCACGTTCTTTTCAAAACAGCTTTGAAGAAAAGAAGTCGCAGAGGGGCCCTCAGCCTTCTGGGGTTTTCCGCCCATCTTTAGAGAATCAAAGAGGAACATCATATATGGCGTCTCCCTCTGGCGTGCAAAAGTGTGTTTTTAAAGCGAGGCCTTTGAATCCGATGCTCCCCGGCGAAGGGAACAGGGGTGTTGTCTGTGCGGGTGTCTGAGTGAAGTTTTTCCTAATTGAAGATGAAGAAGACTTCAACTTCTTTTGTTCTTATGGAGCACTCTTTCACGCTTGTTTTAGGAGCGAGAATGGGTTTTTAGCTAAATCCTTGTTTACGCCGAAAGCTGCCCAAATGGTTTTACTTCTCGAAGTGTTCATTCTTTCCATGTTGAACCTTTTAGGAAAGCGGAGAGCTTTCAGCAACGTGGATAACGTTCTTTCTACAACAATGAGTTTGAAGTGTCCCCGCCTATTACAAGTCAGAAGAAATTCCTTCAGCCTTCGGGGGAAAGTTGCATATAAAAGCATTCTTTAAAATTCATTAAAAAAAAAAAAAAAATGGGGGAGGAAACTTTGCTGCAAACAACAAACGGGACATTCTTAGTTACTGGGCTTTATGTTTCTGCCTCTGAATGACCGACTTTGTTAAGCCAGAGAGGGAAAGTAGAATGTAGACATCCAGATCACTTATTCGCTGGCCCCAGTTCTATCTGAGTGCTTTGGTTTGACTAACGAAAACTGGCGGTTCGGACGAGACCGTTCTTCGGGTGGCACATTTCCTTTAAATTCGCAGTCCAAATGTCAGGTCACGAGCACGTTATTGGGGCGTCTAAGCGAAAAGCAGACTTTTAAGAAAGAAGGAAGTGAAAAGAGCTATCGAGGTTGATTAAATGTGCAACCAGTTGTCCTAAGACATTGAAAGAAAACTCTGCCAACTGGGTCATCAAAACGTATAACCACTGACTACCTATCAGGGAGCCTGGCCTGATATGCTGGCCCGTCTGCTCTGTCCATTCCCACTTACTACTACGTGTGAGTGCCTGCCCAGGGGGCCACCCAACCATCCGCCATCATGGCCGCAGAGAACCGTCTCAAATAAGGAGTCCTTCGATAAGCGCGTTTCTCAAGCATCGGGGACTATATCCAGTCAACTATACCGGAGCCGGTTGCTGTCCATGAAAGTAGGAGTGTCTCAAAAACACTAAAGCGCGAAACACATGTACGACGAAGCTGTCCGATCCGACGTCCGACCACGCAATACGACGGTCGTAGGCGAGGGTTTTCAACGCTCTCCGATGCTACGAAAACCCTCGCCCCCCAAGGTCATTCCGGCAGTCCGCACGTCGGATCGGAAGGTTTCGTCGTACATGTGTTTCGCGCTTTACACCTCCTTCCACGAATTCTGACAAATGTGCCTCAAATGGCCTCCGTAACCCCTCGAGGTAGGAGCCATCCGCGTAGAAAGCAATCCGGCAAAGAGGCCTGCCGCCGTACCTGATAACTTTCCAAACCAGTGCATCGAGAAAGAAATGCAATACTTTTCAAATTGATCGCAATATTTTTCTATTTCTGAGAAAGCGGACACCTAAATTTTGTAAGAAAGACCGCTAGTCACTGTGTATAGCTGTTCAAAGGACACCGGATGGTTCAAAGCATGTGCGTTTTGTTTCATGCACAAATCGTTCGAGGTTCAAAATAAAGCGATTCACGGGTTTTGTGCCTTGAAACGGGCGAATAAAAAAAAATACAAGAGTTTATGAAAAGAGTGCAGAAATGCCGTTGTTGTGCGTCTAGCTCAGTTCGGCACTTCTGACCCAGAGCGCTTACTGGAAATCGAGTCCGGGATTCATTAGATTGCCGCGTTCCGTTCATAGTAATTTTCTTGAAGTTGTCATATTTCTCCCCTTTTTCAGTGATAACATTGCGCATTAATGTGACTCAAGAAGGTACAAAATGTAAAAAGTTTAAATCAACTTAGGCTTCCCAAAATGCACCATGTTAATCAGTGATATCATAATCATCGTTGTTGTGATAACCATCATCGCGTCATCATCACCATCACCATCATCATGAGGGCCTCAGCAGCAACTTTAGCCCAGGGCGCCGAAATTTCTTAATCCGGCTATAAAAAAAACAAAACAAAAAAAAAAAAACGTAATTTTTTTTTTTTTATGGCTTGTTTTTAGGATAATACTGCTTGATCGAAGCACCGATGCACTTTTTCGCCTCTGCCCAATAAAATTATAAATGCGCTTTTTTTTTTTTTTTCGTGCACGTGAGTTTGAGAATTTTTGACCTGCTTCATTTTCAACGCTGGATCTGGTCCCACAAACCCCTGCTGCGTTTGATCAGTCCTGACACCCAACATGGTACAAGTGCACTCGCTATTAAATGCTATAACTACCTTTTTTTTTTTTTTTGTCCTTGTCTCTGCACTTGCACTTTGACTCGGGTCATGCTGTATCGATCTTTCAGCTTCCGCTGGCGCCTGCAGGTTTTGTCACACGAGCTAATTCTAGCTTAGCTAACCCGACACCATCTCCGAAAAATAAACCACATAATTATAATTATTATTATTGCCGTATTATGTGGAGAGTGGCGGGACTCTACACGTGCGGAAAACACAATGTTTCTTTTTCCTCTCCAGATCATCACGACGAGAGGTGAGAATATTTTGTGAGTGACGGAGTATGTTAATGATGGTTCGTGTGCGACAGAAGCTTCTTTGTGAGCTAAGAAAGCATGGCACTTTGTCAAAGCGTACTTTGTACGAGAACTTTTTGCATGCGGACATTGCACTGGGTACGAACCATGGTGCATAAAATGCGGTATAGATGAATGAAGGTGGTACCTTGCTGACGGGGGCAGCGGAGGACCTCGGAAACAGGCTGTCCTCCTGTGGCAGGTCCTTGCGTGCCGAGCCGTGGGCGGCCGCGGCGGCTGCGCAAGTGAAGGCCTTGGCGAAGGACTTCTTGAAGTTGTCGCTGAGGAAGGCGTACAGGATGGGATTGACGGCCGAGTTGGCGTACGACAGCAGCTGGCTGAGCAGGAAGACGGTGACCGTGAGGGCCGTGGTCTGCGACGGCCCCACGCAGCTGATGTACAGCTGGCCCGCCCAGTAGGGCAGCCAGCAGATCACGTACACGGTGATGACCGTGAGCACCAGGTAGGTGACCTTGCGGTGCTTGGCCCGGTGCCGGGACCGGGGCCCGACGCGGCTGAGCCGCAGGATGACCAGCACGTAGAAGAGCAGGATGAGCAGCAGCGGGATGGCGAAGCCCAGGGTGAACGAGTAGAGCGTGAAGGCCGCCTGGCCGTTCATGGCCGGCGACTCGGGCCAGACGATGGTGCACGACTTGGGCCCGACGTCCACCACGCTGGCGTACATGTAGACGGGCACCATTAGCAGCGCGGACACGGTCCAGGCCGTCAGGCAGACGAACTTGGCGATGAAGGGCGTCCGGTAGCGCGGCGACGAGATCGGGTGGCAGACGGCCACGTACCGGTCCGCCGACATCACCGTCAGCAGCAGGCTGGACGTGAACTGGTTGATGGACGTGGTGGTCATGTACACCTTGCACATGGCCGCGCCGAAGGGCCAGTACTTGAACACCATGGTGGCGATGAAGAAGGGCAGTCCCACCAGGAACATCTCGTCGGCCAGGGCTAGGTTGAAGATGTACATGTTGGTCACCGTCTGCATCTTGGAGAAGCGGAGCACCACGTACAGGACGAGCGAGTTGCCGCACAGGCCCACCAGGCACACCAGGCCGTACAGGAGCTTCGAGAACTCCACCACAAACTCGGGGTGACTGGTGAAGAAGGGCTGGTCGCCGTTGTCGGGCTTGCTGCAGTTGGTCGGGGACAGCAAGACGGCCAGCGGCGCCGCGGCGCCGCTGGCGTTGGCCGCCTGGCACAGGGTCTCGTTGGTCATGGCGCGGGCCACGCCCGAGGGATCGATCGCGTCGTGGCGGCAGCCATGGCTGCCGGCGCTCGTTGTTCCCGCCGCGGGCTCGAGCCGCGGTTCGGTCCGCGGTCCGGACGCTGGCCGACGGGACGGGGCGACCGAACCGGCCGGGCCGACGCTGCCCCGGTGTCCGGCGGCGTCGTCGTGCTGGTCGTGGTCGGCACTGGGCTCTCTCACCGGCGGTCCGGACTCCGAGCCGCCGCCAGGGCTCCGCGTCCGAGGCTCGAGACGACGGCGACGCACTGGGGTTCCCGCGCACCGGTGCGCCGCGGCGCCATTTTCGGTCGCTCCGCGCACTCGCGGAGGCTTTCGACAAAAAAGCGCGGGAAAATACGCCCGGTGCGCCTCGCGCTGTCCGCACTCTACCGGAACTCAGGAACTGTTCACTTTCGAACGGGTCACAATTTTATTTTCGCTCACAAAATAGCAGGTTGCTTGGTCGAAAACGGTGACGACTGACGCTGTCTCCAAGTTTCGAATTCGGGACATACTATACACAGCTAGTTTCGTAACTAGCCTTGGATTTTTTTTTAAAGTTTTGGTGCGGGTAATAGGCTAGAATATACGGTATTCTTTTTTTCTTTTTTATTAATTCTTAATTCTTTTTTCCTTTTGTCCACGATTAAAAATTCTCCTCGCTGAGAACGAACACTTACGACCAGGTTTTCAGTTTCTTCACAAACTCTAAACGTAAAGAAAAAAAACGAGAAAAATACCAACAGATACTGTAAACCTAAAAAAAAAAAGAAAAAGAAGAGGGCGGCCGCCACCGGCGAGAGTTCCGCTCACCTGACCTATAATGCTCCAATCACGTGGCCCTCTCCCCCTTCCACCCCCAGGCCCGGTGTTTGAAAAAGGAGGAGGAAGACGAGGCAGATCGCGGCTCACGAGAGGGAGAGGTTGGAGCCCCAGGCCGATTTGGGGTTTCTTATTTTATTCTTTCTTTTTTCTTTATTTGCTAGATTGTTGCTCCTATCCGCGTCCGGCGGCCATCATCATCATCATCATCCGCAGGAACCGTCGTCCCAGCCTCGGCGCCAGCGCTCGTCGACTCGGCTGCAGTCGAAGAGGGGCTTGCCCAGCTTGGCGTTGACCAGGTTGTGCTGGGCGCACAGCCACTGGGCAAGCTCAGAGCGGCTTGACGTCTGCGGAGGGCTCGCTTCAAGGCTGCGAGCAAAAGAGGGCGCATAACCTTTGAGAGGACGCGGTGGCACCAAGGAACACCGCTGGTTTACTCCAGTATGTGGTGAATTAGGATACATGTGGGCGAATAGGAGAATAGATTGACGTCATTTCATCGAGACGTATACATGGTTACAACGACAAAAGCATCGTTTCTTCGTCCGACAACCAAATCTTGTAAGGACAACTTCGTGCCACGCACGAATAATGCGCGAAACGTTAGTTTGCTTAATTTTTTTTTGACAACGAGCGTAAAATTGAGATAAATCGCCAACATTTTTTCTAAAAAAAAAAAGAAAAGAAAAATCATGCGATTGCTTTTTTAAAATTTCTCACGTGAAGCCGAACTAGGTATAAGCTAAATATATTTTGGAATCTTTTAAGTGATTAAAATGGGCTAGCTCAATTATTTTCGAATATTCTGCTGAGATTGCTCTTCCGTGTGATGCCAGAGTTCATATCATGTAATAGTTTTTTTATAGTTGATTTTGCTGGAGTAGACTAACACGAAACGATACATGTTTACAGTCAAGGATAGGGTAAGTGTTCAGGGCGAGGGAAACGAAGGCTGGGGAGGAGGAAGCAGGCGGAGTAGTGGAGGGAGGGGGATGTCTCCTCTCCTCGCATGCAATCCATCTGCTTCCTCCTCCCCAGCCTTCCTTTCTCTCGCCCTGAATTATTAACCTGTCATCGACTATACCATTTTAAAACACTCTCGACCTTGAATATATATATATATATATATATATATATATATATATATATATATATATTTATTTATTTATTTATACAGGGTGTCACAAAGAAATATTTACAGGGTTATTTTTCACCGCAAAAACAAACTAGGCATCGCCGACCGCTCATTCTCCGCCCAAAAGTAGCGCTAGAGGTCACAACCAGATGCCAAAGTTTCAGCCCGATTCGACAACTTAATCAAAAGTTATAAGTGATTTTCTGAAAATTTCAATGGGAAAATGGAGCCCATCTTTGCCCGTTTTCGGTTTCTGGTACACATAGAGCCCCATGTATTCAAAAACTCCGTCAACCGCTGTTTTTTTTTTTTTTTTATGGTATTGTACTGAGCCTTCACTTCGCAACACGCACGCGCCGCTGGGAAATTCGAGACATGCCACATGCCTTCGGATCCCGAGCAAGTGCATCGAGTTTGGGCCCTGCGCCTCATGTACCTTGAACTGCATTGTTGCGGTGCAGGTACTATAGTAAAACAAGACCCGTGGCATGTCTCAAATTACCAGCGGTCAACATCTTTCTTTTTGTAAAAATAAAAAGTAGAACAAGGCATGTGCGTCTCGAATTACCAGCAGCCAACTTCAAAACATATTTCATTACTTCGATAAAATTAGCTCAGAGTTACAAGATAAGAGGCGGATGTAACGAATTCGCTATTCCGCATATTGCTTACTTCAAAACCCGACACTAACTTTTCGCCATCTGGATTATGAAACTGGAAATCTAATTAAGACTGTTACTGAAAGCCTAAAATCCACATTGCAGGAGAAAAGGAATCATTTCTGAAAACCTGAATTCCAGATAGTATCCAACAAGATTTCCTGTTCCACAACCCAGATTGCTGAATAAGTGTTTAGTGGGTTTGGGGGTTGGGTATATTTTATAATGAGTGAAAAGAAACGTATGGCTTCAAAGCGAAACTTGAAAGCGCGAAGCGAGCGATGGGGGAAGGCGGATGATAATCGAATCATCCGCGTTTCCCAACCGTTCGCTTTGTGCCTGCCGCACGAGCGGTAACTCTGGCGCGCCCCCAAGTTTCCCACCTGCTTCAGGTCGTTTTAAAATTGACTGATTTCGTGGTTTTCGACGACGCTCAGCAAGTTTCTCATTGAAACCATACGTTTATTTTCACTCGTTAAAATATAATTAACGAATTCTAGTTCATTACTCAACAAACTGTGGCGGCTGTATACGCTCATATAATGACCGCCGGACTCGACAAACACCTAGCGAAAAGACATTTAACTAGCACGTCTTTTTTTTTTTTTTAAATTCAGTTTAATGAAGAAATTTTACCCGGTTTACTAGCTAAGTGCAAACTACCCCTCAATTTCTTTTTCTTTTGCGGACGATACACTATGTGCGGGCTAGAGTCCGGAAAATACGCTAACTAAATCCATCATAAAAAATACGTAAAAAAAAAAAAAAAAAAAAAAAAAAAAAACGTAGACATGGTTTCGAAGTTGCACGGCCCAGGGAAGTGGTCAGCTCATAATGTACCGAGTATAATTGACTCCCAACAATAATCGATGATCCCTTTTTTAATTTATTTTTGCTTCACTTACGAACGAGGATATATTAAAAGGGTTTCGTAGTGACGAGAAAAACAAATTCTGACTCGAGCTATATTTTATCTTTCGACACGATTCGCCGTCGAAGCTCGATCGCCACTGGATGTTTCTCCACAGACTTTCGATCTGCTCTCGGAAGTGGCTTTCTTCGAGGTTCCCCAAAAATAACCCTGGACAGACTCGACCACTCCTTCCTTCGACCCAAATATCTTCCCAGCCAGCAACCTTTTACGGGTTTAGGGAAAAAGGTCGGGAGCCAAATCGGGGCAAATACACCGAAAGCAACTAAAGCGGACATCTCGTCCATCACACAAACCACACGGTGACCGCTGAAAACAAGATGGTGGAATGATCCGAGGACACACGTCTCAAGGATGTTCGACGCAAGTTTAGTCCGTGTACGTATATGTATGATGTCCGCAGACGGTATTTTAGTGCGACTAATGTCACAGGGTCCTCGTACAAGCAAAGAACACGCGTCAGACGGCGCGTGCAGACTGTCCTTTTGTACGGCGTATTAACGGCGCGACCGCGGTTACGGGAAAGGAGGAAACGGGAGAGCGCGGTGACGTCAGGGTGCCGCGCTCTGATTGGACGGATTAGTGGGTAGAGGCAAAGGCCGGCTGCCGTTGTCTCTCTATAGACCTTTTCTGTGTACTCTCGTCTCCAGCCACCTAATAGGCGTAGCCGGTATGGGCGACGAAAAAATAATCCAACGTTTCAACCTGCAAACAGTAAAAAAATAAAGGGGAAGCAAAACGACAAAATGTGACGTTTACGCTTATATCCTAAATGCCTTCTATTGGCGTGGCAAAGGCAAAACAATGTTTTCGCCCATACTGGAAGTGACGTCAATTCAAGATGGCGGCGCACTTGCAGAAAAGGTCTATACCTGCTGTCTCCCTCCAATCGGAGCGAGCAAGAGCGTCGTCTGCTCTCCGCAGTGTCGCGCGTATAGGCTCCTTGCACATGACGTCATTTCCGATACCCTCCAGAGAAGAGGGGGAGAAGGAGCTCCCCTCTTATCAGGACCCTCCCTTGTGCCTTCCGGATTTGCACAGGCGTCGCTATTCTCCTCCCAGAAGATTATAGAAGATTAACCCGTCACTCAAAATTCTTACAAAAGCAGCTTCCCTCTCCTCCTTTTACTTGGTGTGCAAATCTGTGCGATGTGACGTCAATGCAAGGAGCCTATACATGGGTTGCACGTGACGTCATTCAAAAGGCGCTACGATGACCACCAGAGAGGAGGGCAAGAAGATGCTCCGCTCTTATCAGGGCCCCCTTTTGTGGCTCCCGGATTGGCACAGTCGTTGCTATTCTCCCCACAGAAGATTATAAAAGATTAGCCCGTCACTCAAAATTCTTACAAAAGCAGCTTCCCTCTCCTCCTCTTACATGGAGGCCAAAAATATGCGACGTGACGTCAGTGCAACCCATGTATACAAATAGCGAGTAGAGATGACAGCAGCCAGCCTTTGCGCCTACCCACTAATCCGTCCAATCAGAGCTCAGCGCTCCCTCCTCCTCTCCCCGAGTTTCCCTCCGTAGACGGTGGATGCGGAAGGATATTTCGAACGTCGTATCGTCGTATATAACGACGATACCGGGTGCGATGGCGCTGCTATTAGCACCCAAACGTTTAGGTGGCGCCCCCTTATGGTTTCCGTCCGTGATGACGTCACGATGCGCCTCGCCGTGACGTCACGAGGTGCGACCTCGGCCACTTCATCGTCAGTTTGCGACGACACGTTCGACGGCGTGTTTAATTAAAAAAAAAAAAAAAAGCACGGTGGAAGTTGGGAGTCGCCGTGCGTTTCATAAACCAACACCGTCCGAGCTGACAGCATGTATGGTCCGGCAGCAGATCCTTTTGCTCGCGCGCACGTCGCGAACAGTCGGTGAAGGGGTGAGAACGGCAGGGCTTCTCGTTTTGGGTGCCCGGCGTCCTGCACGTGCTCGCCTGCTGCCTTCCGTCGTGCTCTGTGACAGCGCGAGCACCCTCGAAGCACAGGAGACGCCGATGGGTTAGACAGGGAGCTCGACGCCCTGGGACAACGGAAATACCTCCCTGACGTCCTCGTTCCGTCACTGACAGTACATCGACTCCGACTCTCCTCCCGTGACGCCACCACTATACGGTGGCGCCGCTGTCAGCATACTGCGCGCACCCGGCGTGGGAAAACGTCGGCTTGTTTGTAAACGGTGTGTAGTACAGTAGAATCCCGTTAATTTTAACCCACGGGGGACCAAAACTTTGCTTGAATAACGCAAAGTTTGAATTACCGGGTGTTTCCTTCCTAGAAACATATAGGACGGTTTGTTAGTTCGAATTATCCGAGAGTTTGAATTAACGATATTTCGCCGTATGACAAAAGTATAACCATCGCCGCTCAACAAGACGCATTTTTCTCGCGGTGTAATCAGGAGGATCAAAACGGACTTTGTGTTGTTTCGTTTTTCACTTTCAGTTTCTCCGTCATAATAACGGGAATGACGGTGTTGGCTTAGATGCATGCCCGATCGAGGTTGCTTAACATGACGCTCGTCGGAACCAGATGAATTACTCGACTGTTCGACTCGATGTTCGCAATCGATTCATATACGAAAGCCATCGATATACCGACATAAAAAACTTAAAAAAAAAAGCGATCGAATATTGGC